GAGAGAGAGAGAGAGAGAGAGAGAGAGAGAGAGAGAGAGAGAGAGAGAGAGATGTCATGCTTGCGCTGTTGCGTGTTGTCGTCCGACACATCCAGTCTTCTGTGAACAGGACTGTAACCGATGTGCGTGCCATTTTTGGGCCTTCATGGCCCAGGCCACTCTTCCCCTGTGCGTTTCGGTGTAGAATGGGCCAGTACCGGCCCGGTTTGTCAAATGGCCACATGTGGGGCCTTGTCCAGTTAACTGGCCGGGTGCTGATCCAGTTTGTGTGGAAAAGAACGCTGTGTATGCAACCATTTGTTCTGGCATGGCCTCAGATGGTAGCAGGACAGCATGGCAGCATGAAAGAAAAGGGCCACACTCACAACCCATTTCTTCTGGCATCATGTTAGATGGTCCTGGCCCAGCATGAATGAAAATAGAAATGGCCGTCTTTGTGCGACCATTTTTTTCTGGCATAGCCTCTACGGTAGCGGGTCAGTATGGTACAAAAATGGCAGTGCATGCAACCATCCTATGAATTGGCCACACGCCTGGTCAGAACTGTGATGGCTGCGCACACAGCGATTTGTTTATGTATGTGGGACCGCTACTGATGCAGGGGTGCAAGCTGGCACCAGCCCAGGCCTATACATTAAAAATGGAATCATGAATGTGGAAGTCTGACAGGCCCAGCTCGATCCTGGTCACACAGTGCAGGAGTGATTTCTGTGGTGGTAGTGATGAAAGAAAATGAAAACATTGCCATTTGGCTGTAATATTATGATCAGAGGAGGAGGAGGAGGGCATGTCCCTTGTGTCTGCACATTTTGATAAGCAGAGGAGGAACAGGACGAAGACGAAGACAACAACAATGACGATGATAGCGCAGAAGGAGAAGGGAAGGAGGAGGGGGAGGAGGAGGAGGAGAGGTTGGTGGGGAGGGGTGCAAGCGCTTGGTTTTATCACTGATCCTCACTTCTCTCTCTCACTCATAGATGCACCATCAGGCTTAGCTCTCTCTCTCTCTCTCTCTCTCTCTCTCTCTCTCTCTCTCTCTCTCTCTCTCTCTCTCTCTC